CTGGCGGTTCAAACCCACCAGCCACTCCTCGGAAGGAAGGTTGGGCAATCCTACTTCCGTAGTGATACTGCCTCGAAAACCCAAGGAGGGGTCGCTATGAGTCGGGCCGACTCGATGGCACATAACAACATATATACTTTGCTGTTTTTTTGTGTTTCTCTAGAGAACCCAGTCTAACACAGGGATAAAGGAGCCTGTTGAAGAGCAGGCAGGGCAAAGGCCCAGCTGTGTTAATTCAGAGATTTGTTCAGGGAATGGCAGAACTTTTGGGTGTGCTCTGGTAGGGAAAAGGAGTTGTATGAATTGAACTCTGTCCCTCCAAAACATGTGTTGGAATTCTCACCCCTATATCTACGGATTTAATCCATTTGAGAATATAGATTTCTTTGTTATGTTACTGAGGCCATATAAATGTAGGTTGTGTCCTAAACTTAACACTTCTGAGTTGTAAAAGAACAGTTGAGGCAAGCACAGATGAGAAAGATAGATGTGATGAGAAGCTCGCCAGGGAACACAGGGACTACAGAAGCTGAAAGAGACAACAGTCTCCTATGGCCAACAGATACAATCTTCCCCCTATAGCCAGTACCCTAAATTTGGACTTCCATCCTGAATTGTGAGAAAATATATTTTATTTAAAGACAACCACTTGTGGTATTTCTGATACAGCACCACTAGCAAATTAAGATGAGGACCTAGGTGAAAATGAGGCTGGAAACATGGTGTGGGGATCTTGGACAGGTTTTGGTAGAAAAAGAATATCCAGAAAAGCCAAGGTGTAGAAAGAGATCTGTTAAAATCTGCATTTTCTAAGGTACTCTTAGTGGTCCTGTGGATGACAATCTACAGAAGCAAAACCAGTTTGTAAACCATTGTAGTTCAGCAGGGAGATAAAAAGGTGGCGAGTCATGTCAAGTAGATGATGGGTAGACAGGAAAATAAAATTTGTTTTTTCCTTCAACAAACAATTAAGTGTATGTTTCTCTCATAAAAGAAACAAGCAAAGACTCTGCCTTCATCCTGTAGCTTCTTTTTGGTCTTCACAGCCAAGTTTCTATAAAATGTCTCCTGCCCCCACCACTCCTGCCAACATTCCCCATGAGCTCCTAGATGTTAAATCCCTCAGGCACTTTCTAATCCTTACCTTGCTGGGTATCTGCCTTTTGCACTGGACAGTGCTGACCCCTTTTCAGGTGCTTTCTCTGTCTCTTCTTACTCCAGCTTCTTACCCTTTACAACATACCCACCTTCCAGGTTTTTTCCCTTTTCTATTTCAACCACTAGCTGTGCACTAATGACTCCCAGATCTGTATCTCCACTCAGCCATCTCTCCTGACTCCACACTTGTTTACCAACTGCCTCCTAGACAAGCTCACTTATTTGTCCCAGGGGCAGCTCAAACTCCACAGGTCCCAGACAGAAATTATATGGCTGTGTGACCTTGGGTATATTAGTTAATTGAATTGGGACTCTTTTCTTAACTATGAAAATGGGGCATTACAAATATAGAAGTCTGTTGTGGAGATTAAATGAAAAGAAAGAATAGTATGTTACACAGACCCTGGCACATGGTAAGCCATCTATGAGTGTTAATCTTTACTCTGCTTTCAAACTCACCCCTTCCTCCCCTTATATTCCCTAATTTGACTAATACACCCAATATCCAAGTCATCCATCAAGCCAGGGCCCTCAACCCTACTCTCATCCTTTACCTTTCAACACAATCATTATGTCCCAGCCACATCCATTTCACTTTACTAATAATCTTGTCTGCCCTTCTCTACTGCCCCCACTTCAATCCCTCATCAACTCCTTGGACTAGGGCCACTCTGTGCTGACCCCACTCTTGCTCCTCCTCCAGTCTAGTTTCTACATGGCTCAGAATGCTATTCTGAAAATGTACTTTGGATTTCCTCTTAACAATTTTTCAGTGGCTCTCAACTGCATTGGGGATAATATTCAAACTCCTTGGAAGGGCACATAAAGCTCAGAAGAACCTGGCATGGGGCACAGTCCATCCCCTCTTCAAGGATCAGCTGGTCCTCCCTTGGCAAGGGTTGACTGTGAAGTACTCCTCTAGCTAAGGCTGCCTGGCATGTCATCTCTTGCTACTTCTTCTCCTTCCAGATGCAGTTCAGGGCCACTTCATCTGAGAAGCCTTTCTGATTTTCTAGTTGGATGATTATCTTTCTTCTTGTTCTCCAGGGCCTCTACCCTAACATTTATCATCCTCTAGTAGTTGTCTAAGGAACTCTGGTGGCACAGTGTTTAAGTGCTCAGCTGCTAACCAGAAGTTGGGTGTTTTCAAATCAAGAGAAAGATGAGGTAGTGTGTTTCCTCAAAGATTTGCAGCCTTGGAAACACTATCGGGCAGCTCTTATCTCTCCTATAGGGTCATTGTGAGTCACAATTGACTAGATGGCACTGAGTTTGGCTTGGAGTTGTCTGTTCACTTGCCAGTCCTCTCCCACTCAACTGAGTTGTCTACAGACAGAAAAATTATCTTTTATTTCCATATCCCAAGCACCTGACACAGTGCCCAGCAGACGGTAGGTACTCAAGAAAAGTAGATCAGTGAAAAGTGTTCTCTCCAAAAAGGAAACAATTGGTTTGGGGAAATCAGTGTCAAGGTTTAGCATATCCACTCTTTCCGCTCCACGAGTTTCTTTTCCTGCTCAGCGGTTCCTTCAGGCCTGTGTATCTAGTGCCTGCACATCCTTCTTGGGGGTTCAGCTTGCGTAGAATTAAACAGCGGAAGAGCAGACACAGGGCTGCAACTACAGAGGCCTTTTTTCAGAAGAGTTCAGGAGCCTGCAAATGCATTCCCAGCGGGCTGAGGTGAAAGCCTGCACCCTCAGTTCCATGCCACGAACAAGTCCGTGACTGCCCGCCGACCTGCCAGGGTGCAAGGCCTGCTTCGGTAAAATGGCATACAAAAACGCACTCCGGAAACACTGTGTCGGATAAGCACACATACGTGCGCGGGAGTGCCCGGGGCCAGCCTCCCGGCCTCAGATTCCCGGGCTCCACTGCGCTTCTTGCCCTGCTCAGGCCTAGGTGCCAAGCTAACTGCCTGGCGCTCAGCCGCCGCCGGCGGGAAAGCGCTCAGCGTCCGGGTGTCACGTGCCAGTGGCCAGGCGCGCCGTGCAGCGCGGCGGGGCGGGGGCGGGGATAGTGCGGGCGGGGCGGGGCGGGGCGGGGCGGGCTCCCGGCACAGGAAGAGTTGGGAGGCCCGAGCCGTCCCAGGGTGCCCCGCGCGGCGTGGAGTCGGGCAGCTGCCGCCATCCCGCTGGCGAGAGGGGGAAGAGAGGCCCGCCCGCTCGCCGGTCCGGCCAGTGTGAGCCAGTGCGTGAGAGCGCGGGGGGCCGTGTCAACGAGACGCAGAGCGCAGCCGCCACCACCAAACGGACATGTTGGAGCCCAGTGCCGTCGCCGCCGTTTCTTTTTCTTCTTCCTCCGAACGGGACTAAGAGGGCCCGCTGCTCCTCCGCCTCTGCCTTGGTCGTCCGCTCTGCCGCTTGGACCGCAGCCTTTTCTTGCCCTGGCCTTTGGTTTGTCCGCTCGTCGCCTCCCCCTGCTCCCCAGGCCTGGCCGGTTTCCCAGCCCCGCTCCGTCGCGGCGCGAGGTCTATGTGACCGGCGGGCCCGGAGTAGCCGCCGCCGCAGCACGAACATGGACGCCGTCAACGCCTTCAACCAGGAGGTGAGGAGTGCTCGGGGCAAGGGGGTACCGGGCCTGTCTCTGGAGTCAGTGCTGTTTCTCCCGCCGCCAGAGGTTTAAAGCATTGATCTGGGTGGGGAAGCTTCCTGCCCCGGTTCCGGGGCGGCCGGGCCTGCGCGGAGTGGCCTGTGGCTTGGCAGAGGTCGCGGCGGCCATGGGAACTGACCCCACACCCCTCCCCCACCGCCCACCCCCGGGCGGCGACCTCAAGCTGCCCCCTCGCCCCCTGCCGGCCTCCCCTGACCAGTCGGCTCTGGTTCCTCAAAGCAAGACCCTTTTCAATTACAGGCACTCACGCTTTCTGCTCCCAGCCCCATTGCTGGCTTCGCAGTGCCGGAAGCCTGTAAGGGGCTAAGAAAGAAGCGCGGGCGGGCGTGTGGGGTTGGGGGCGGGGGAGTGGGAGCATCTGCCGGTCGCGGGGCTGGTGGAGCGACGGCCTCACTTCTCCTGTTGCTCAGGCCGCGGCGCATCGGCGCCTGGACTCTGATCCCGGGTCGAGGAGGAGTTGGAGAGAGTGTTCAACCTCCTCGTCTGGGGTTCACACACTTAGGAAATGGGGTTGATAAGCGGCAAGAGGGATGACTACTTAACATTTCGAGTCGTGAACGTAACCCATAGGCTCTGTGACCCCAACGTGACACCTAAAAAGTTGAATGGGAGAGAAGAGTATTTCCTCCGCCTTAGTCCACTTAGAAAGTCGGCGTTGGCCTCCAGTCTGCCACCTTCGTACTCCCTCCGAAGGTTGTTAATTCTCGGCTCGTTTCTACGGGAATATTTACACGTGAAAACCTCCCAAAACCAGGAACAAAGCTGTTTGCCGCATTAAAGCTTTCTAGTTGTATCTGAGATCTTTCCAGGTGCTGGTCTTGGAGTGTACAGTCCACACCTTCTATTAATCAGCATCCATTTGAGGGGCGGGGGAAACTGGACCATAGAGTTAAAAAGCAATTACAGAAGATAAACTATTGTCATATGTTGGACGTTTTTCTTCTTTTTTAAATGCCAGAGATAAACCAACATTGGAAAAAAAAAATCAGATGTTCGAGATAATCTTGATAGGGCGTTAAAAACTTGCTGCACCCCACAAAAAGGTTTTGTAGCTTCTCGTGTAACAGAATTATGATGTGGTAACTTTCAATTTACAGTGCCATAGTTTTGGACCCACCAGTTATGCCTCAGTTAAGATCATTAATTGCCTTACAGATTATTCTAGACTTGGCTTATCTTCAATTGATAGTGCAGTAGATATATAAAATATCTTAAATGAAGTGGTTGTAACTGGTATTGGACGTTGTCTTGCAGAAGTTCAATAGTGATGATTTTCAAAATAACAAAATAATACTTCCTAATTTTTGATGTTGTTATCTGCCATCGAGTCAGACCCGACTCACAGCGACCCTTCCTTGGGTTTCCCAGGTGGTATCACTACAGAAGTAGATTGCCCCATCTTCCTTCCTGAGAGTGGCTGGGTTTGAACCTCCAGCCTTCTGGTTAGGAGTCAAGTGCCTTAGGCTAGAGAATTTGGGATACCTCCAGATAGTTGGAAGTTGACTTGTTTGCTGAAGGTAAAATTCATTGGAATGTTGGTTTCATGAGGGTAGGGAGTTTTCTGGTCTCTTAGGCCCTCCCTCCTCCATAACAAATGCTCAGCAAGTACTTGTTGAATGAATGTACCCATACAAATTAATTCTTAAAAGAGTTCAAATATAATTCTCTCCCAGAATAAAACTTAACTACAGAATAGTTTTAATGGCAGTTTTTAATGAACAAAGAAGCTCGTTTGTAGTGTATTCTTAAGCTCAAAATCATTTAATTTTGACTTAAACATTGTGAAAGTTGTTATCAGGCACATTATTCAAGTATTTTTTGTTAATTCCAAAAGGCGTGAACTGCAGATTGCCTTATGTTAGGTGTCTGTTGCGAGTTCCAGCTCGCTTCTCTTAAATGAAAACTTTTCTGGAGAAATTAGTTTGACTCTAATATCCATCTTGTGCTTGCTTGATTTGTAATTCATCTGAACTGTTTCTCATTTGTAAAATATTACTGATTTGTTCTGTTCTTTGTAACCTGGAATCCCCTAAATCTCTTTTAACAAACATTTGAGTTTGTCAGATGCAAGACTCTCCTGAATACTGAGACTATAGAGGGTCTCTGTCGTCAAGGAGCTTAATTTAATAGGGAACATTAGATTTAGGCAATAACTTTAATGTGATAGACAGCTTTCTTTGAGGATGTTTATGAAGTACTGTGGAACGGCCATGGATGGTTTGTGAAAACTTGGGAAGAGAAGCTATTAGTTTAGGGTTTCAGAAGGTGTAGGAAACAGAATCAGAGGGCAACAGTGCTGAGAAGTAAGACAGTAGTAGTTTGACTCTGAGTCCCTGGGAAACACTCTTGAGTAGCTGGGCTACTAACCTAAAAAGGTTGGCAGTTTAGACTGACCCGAGGCACTTTAGAGGGAAGATTTGGCGATCTGCTGTTGAAAAGTCACAGCTCTGAAAACCCTATGGAGGGCAGTTCTACTCAAAACACATGGAGTCATTATGAGTTGGAATCCACACAATAGCTACTGGGAAGGAAAAGATTACTAGAAATTAAGGATGATAAAGTGATTTGAGACCTACCATTTACAAGTTTTATGTCTAATGCATTTGGGATTCATTTTCAGGCAGTGGATGAACAGTGAAGGTTTGAGTAGTGGAGTGATAAAATTTTAAAAACTGCTTGATTTTTAGTAAATACGTTGGATGGCAGAGATTTGGGGAAGATGGAGCAGTTGGGGACTGGGATTGGAAAGACAAGTAGAACCTGTACTTGGTAAATCCATAGTAGGAATGGAGAAAAGGAGGAAGAATGTGGGCCAGAGGAATTCATGCACCTTGGCATCTGATAGGTTTAATAAGCAGTTAACCCTTATGTTCTAAGTGCTGGGAGAGTGCAATGCCATTAACACAGATCAAGCAGTCATCAAAAGCAAATTTAGTGGAGAAGAAAATGTGTTTGGTGTTTGAGCAGGGTGAGTTTGAGTTATGTATGGAACAAAAACCAAAAAACCGAACTCACTGCCGTTGAGTGGATTCGACTCATAGTGACCACTGTATAGGTGTGAACTGCCAGCCTTCTGGTTAGCAGTCAGATGCCTTAGACACTATGCCACCAGAGCTCCCATGTGTGGAACAATCATGTGGAAATTTTTGGCAAGCAGTTGAGCATGTAGAACTCAAACTTAGAAACAACCAAGAGATACAGAGGAAGATTCATTTTCAGATGTGCCCTGGAAAAAATTGAGGGGGAAGAGAAAAGAAATTAACAGTTAATAAGCACCTTCTGCGTGTCAAGCACTTATATATATATACATATTTAATTTTTTCTGTATAGACAATGCAATTATAGATGAGGAAGCTGATTCTCAAAGAAGTTAAACAATAATTTACCCTAGGGCATGTTGTTGTTGTTATGTGCCATCGAGTCGGACCCTACTCATAGTGACTTCTCATTGGATTTCCGAGGCAATATCACTACGGAAGTAGATTGCCCCATCTTCCTTCTGAGGAGTGGCTGTTGGGTTTGAACCACCAGCCTTCTGGTTAGCAGTCAAGTGCCTTAGGCACTGTGCTACCAAAGCTCCCTAGGGCATACTGCTAGCTAATAGCAGAGCTGGAATTTGAATGTGGGTCTCTCCAGTGTAATTGCTTCCTAAATATAATGTATTAGACCAGGGTAGTGGCTGGAAGTTAAAAGACTTTTTTAAAATGTCACTGAAATTGTGAGGGTGGTGAATCTGACGTTTAGTATTGAATGGTGATGGGAGATAAGAAAATCAGGTAGCAAATGAAAAGTTGACTTTTGAGGTGATTAGTAAGGAGGGATTAGAGGGAAGAGTTTGCTTTAAGGATGAAGAGAAAGGAACAGCTTACAGTATACTGTGCATTCTGGTAGGCAGTTTGTATGTTTAGATGGTGTATATAGGAACTCAGATTTAGCAATTGGTAGTCAGACCCTGGTCTCTCTCTACTAGATGAGGGTAGATGATGGCATGTTGATGAGAAATGAAGAGGAGGAAGAGAAAACACAGTTAAAAGCTACAAGAGAGGTTGGTTAATTTGGAGCAAAACTGGATACATAAAAAGGGACAAATGAGTAGCTTAGGTAAAAGAAAAATAAGTAAATGTAAGATACAGAATGGAAGGAACATGAGATAAGTGAAGTTAACAAAGATCCCACTCAATAGTATTTGGAGGACTTTTATGGCAAGACGTTATTAAAAGGTGAAAAGATGAGTGAAAAAGAATCAGTGATCGATTACAATATGGATCAGTCCATATTCAGTGGTGTTCTGTGTTGCATACAGTATATATTCTTTAGTAGGAAGACTCTAGTACTTTGTAAAAGTTTGTTCAATGAATAAAGATTATAGACTAGATTTTTTTAAAAGTCTGTCAATAGCATTTTTAGCCTTTAATCAGTCTTCTCTTAAAATATTTAACTCCCCTTTCTTTGCAGTATCTATTAATTTATTTTAAGACATTTAAAATACACAAAAGTACAGAGAAAATAAACAGCTAATATTCTGTTTTGATAAATAATGAGTGGTATATATGTGCTTTTTTACTCAAACATTATTAATACTATGCATGAAGATTTAGTTTATTCTTTTAAACTGCTATGTAGTATCTGGTTCCTCAGTTGATGAACATTTAAGATGTTTCTTATTTTGCTGTCAAACTGCAGTGAACTTTCTCAAACATGTTTCCTTGTGTACATGTATAAAAGTTTCTCTAGGACAACTGTTCTCAAACTTTTTGGCCTTACATCCTGTTACACTTCATATTCTTAAAAGATAAGGAACACATACATATTTTTTTAATCTATGGGTTATATCTGTTGGTGTTTACTGTATTAGAAATTAAGGCTGAGACATGTAAGTATTAATTTATTAAAAGTGGGCATCTGACTGCTAAATAGAAGGTTGGTGATTCAAA